TAAATATCATTTTAAGGGTCATTATTATTGCAGGTGTTTTTAATATTATTTTATCGTCATATTTTCATTCTGTAACAGCGTCCATACCCTTAACGATATCTGATACATCCGTGGACCGTTCTGTCGGAACTGTTCCTGTAGTTCTTGTTTCACCGTCGCGACCATCTGTTTCATTTGGGCATTGTGTATATAGCTTCCAAGCCGTCGGTACGCATTTAGCCTCTGTCCGTTCCCATTGGCTGAGTTCACCGCTATTGACACTAGTCCTTCTATATCAAAGTCGGGTGTGGCTTCGGTAAGGTCTTTTATTTCTTCGAGGTAGTTATGGCATCCATCACGTAGGGTACCAGCGTATCATTTCCCGTGGGCTCTTCGATTCTTGTCACACTGTTTCCCACCACTAGATATACTCCGGTTTGGTCTATGGTTAGTTGTGCTTCCTCCGATATCAGCTGTAACTCTTTTTGTATCTTGCGGGCGTATTCGTAGAGATTTTTAGTAAATTGAAGGACATTTATGTAGAAGTTCTGAATGGATTAAAGGATGATTCGTGGATTGCGTTTTTCATGTTGATAGGAATTTCTAGCAATTTCCATTATGTATCCCTGTCATCTCACGTGTGATAAAGTCTCTTTGTTTGTAGGGCTTCAATCGATTTCTATGTACGGGACGATTGTTGAGTATCTCTCCACTTATGGTTCGTAATATGTATGACCCATTCCCCAGGACCCAGTGGATGAAGAAAGGTCCCGCTCACTTATTTCGAAACTTATCTCCATAAACATTCTGCAGGTCTGAGCGGTATTCTAGCACCATGTCACCCGTTTTATATGTCGTGGCTCTGATTCTTCTATCGTGAGTTCCCTTTTGCCTTGCTTGGGTATTTTTTATATTCCCAGTGGCCTTAATCTTGTCGTCAGCGAATTTTCCCACAATCTCGCTGATTCTTCTGCAAACTAGGTCCTCGTACTGGTCTTTATTGATCTCTGCAGCTGGCCAAGTGACGATATCGAGTTCTATGGGTAGAGTGGGACTTCAGTCATAAAGCAAGTAGAAAGGTTTATGCTTCATTGTTCTATTTCTGATCGTTCAGTACGCAAAGAGTGCTGAGGGTATTAACACATCCCAGTCGTATTTTGTTTCTGATATACACTTGTCTAAAGTCTTGCATAGCGTTTGGTTGAATCGTTCCGTTAAGCCGTTACTCTGTAGGTGATATGCGGACGCGAGTCTGTGATACGCTCCCATTATGTTCACCAAATTGGCTACCACTTGACTAATGAATACGTTCCTCTGTCAGACAGTATTTCTCTTGGGCAACCGTGGCGGCATATGATTTCGTCGTACAGGAACTATGCGATGGTTATTGAGTCAGCTTTTTTGATTGCTCTTGCTTCTGGCCACTTTGTAAAGTAATCCGTTGCCACTATTATATACCTTTTCATTGTGGATGTTGATTTTAGCGGTCCCACGATATCCAACCCTATTCGGTCAAAGGCTTGTCTTACTTTTATTGTCCGTAATTTTTCGGTACGCACAGGCTTACCCTATCGCTGGCATATGTCGCAGGTTTCTATATAATTATTTATGTCTTCGTTCATAGTTGGCCAGAAATATTTTTGCCTGGTTCTTTCTATAGTTGATTTTATGCCGAAATGTCCTGCATTCGGCACACTGTGCATGTTGTATAATATTTTGAGTACGTTATTCTCTAATATTACCCGTAATAGGTTTCCGTCCTTACCACGTTTAAATAAAATATTTTCTTATACTATATAATGGTTCGCTTGCTGTCGTAGTCGTCGTCGTTGTTCGCTTGTTTAATCTTGAGGGGAAGTGTGGTTGAGTAAATATTCAATTATCTGATTATAACTGTTCGTATCCATTTTCAAAAGATTTCATAGGTTCTTTCACGTATCCGAGCTCCTGTATCTCTTTTCTTGATCTTAGTACTAGATACGAGATAGGGTGTCAGCGTTGACATTAAGGCGCCCCTGTTTGTGGATAATGTTATAGTCATACTCAGATAATTCAAAGAGCCATCGAGCAATTCTACCTTTTGGATACAGACGGTTTTTCAGCCAAGTGAGGGCCAGATTATCGGTATATAAATCAAACCTGGGACTGTGCAAGTAGTGCCTGAAATATCGTATGGCCCAGATGGCAGCGAGACATTCCTTCTCGACGACGGTGTAATTTCGTTCTGGGGCTGTTAAAAGCCAGCTAGCGTAAGCGATGGGGTGTTCGTGATTCTCTTCGTCCTTCTGGGAGAGCACAGCTCCAATACCCCAGTCGGAAGCATCTGTAGCAAGTGTGAATCGTTTTGAAAAGTCAGGGTAAGTCATGATGGGTGTTGATATTAAATGTTTTTTGAGTGAGTCGAAAGTGAGCTGGTGTTCGTGATTCCATACAAATGCAACATCCTTTTTTGTCAGGTTGTGCAGTGGCTTTGCGATCGTGGTGAATCCTCTCACGAATCTCCTGTAGTAGGACGCCAACCCTAAGAATGCACGAACGTTCATTTTATCTGCCAGAATAAGATAGTGTTTTACCTTCTCTATCTTTGTTAGGTCAGGGACCATGCCTTCGACCATAATGACATGTCCTAGAAACGCTAACCTGGTCTTGAAAAAGTCACACTTTTTTAGGTTTATCCTTAGCCTCGTATTCTTCAAGAGGGTGAAAACGGTCTTCAGGTGCTCCACGTGCTCTTCACAGGTCTTCGAATAGATGATGATGTCATCGATGTACACAAGCACGAACTTCCAGACAACTTTGTGAAAAACTCTATCTATTACTCGTTGGAACGTCGCAAGGACGTTAACAAGTCCAAAAGGCATTACAAAAAACTCATATATTCCAAATGGCGTAGTGAAAGTGGTCTTTTCTCGATCCATTTGCGATACTTCCACTTACCAAAATCCTGACGCCAGATCCAGTGTTGAAAAAAAGGCAGAATGTCCTAGAGCGTCTAACATGTCAGCTATCCGAGGGACGAGGTAAGCATCGGGTTTCGTGACAGCGTTTAACTTCCTATAATTGACGCAAAATCTGAACTTTCCATTTTTCTTGTTAACCACTACTACGGGCGCGGACCAAGGGCTGAAAGACTTCTGGATTAGTTTGCTATTTAACATCCAGTCTATTTCCTCCTTCAAAAATTTTAAGTGTCGAGGTGAGGTTCGGTATGGGTGCAATTTAATCGGCTTTGTTTCGCCAGTATCTATAGTATGTTGGTGAAGGTTGGTTCTCCCCAGTTATGAAAGGTCGCTTGCCACCAGGTCTGGAAATTCTTCAAGGATTTCGTCGATTTGGCATTTATATTTATTCTTCTCGAGGCCCTCTACCCCTCCCTGGACTAGGTTGCAGCGGATGCACTGGATCTCGTCTTGCGGTACTATTGAAACTGCTTCCCAACTATACTGCCGTTTCTCACATACATCACAACTGGCCTTATCGTCTTCAAGATACTTGTCACACCAACAGTAGGACTTAGGCCCCGTGACCTTACGCCTTTCTCGTTTTCGTTTCTTTCTTTTGATGGCATCAAAACAATACGCCAGATAATCGTAAATCTTCCATGTGATATGTTCCAAACCGATACATATCCCTTCGGAAGTAATCTTGCACGTAGTGTTAGCTTCCTGCTGTGGTAGTTCGTATGACAATCCAACGAAATTTACTTCATCATCCTCTTCCATGTCCATGTCTTCACTACTTTCCTCCTGCTCTTCTTCACTTTCGCTATCGTCCTCGTCACTATCTAGTGTCATTGCATTAGTATTCTTGCAGGGGATTTCGACTGTTCCTTCTTCGTCTTTTAACGTTAGCTTACATTCCTGATAGTCAATAATTACTTTCGCCCTTCTCAGCCAGTCGGTGTCAAGAACTAGAGCGTACCCAGTTGCATCGATTACCTCCATGTCTATCGCTACAGTTATCTTTCCTAGTTTTATAGGTACTTGGGTTACAACTTCTAGGCTGGGACGTCTCTCGACATGAATACTGACTATTCTTCTATCAGATGGTTTCTCTATCTTTCGCCTCAGTGATTCCAAAAATTTCTTCGACACAATACTAATGGATGAACTGCTATTGAGTATTACCTCGACCTTCCATCCTGCAACTTGCGCCTTACACATCATAGGTGTGTTCCCTTCTGTGTTAGCGTGATTAACCTTGGCAGCTCTCGTGCGTTTTGGCATTAGGGCCTTTCGGACTTCGCTTCGGTAAGGTGGCATCGCCATCAGTTGTCCTATGGTAATGTTAGCTTTCGTTGATAACAGGTTAGAGACAATGGAATAAGGTGGAACGTTCTGCATCATGTATGGCTGTTGGATAGGAGGTACCTTCTTCTTCTTTCGTTTAGGTTCTTCGGGTATTCCTTTACCTTTTCCTGAATGTAATCTCTTGGCAATGGGTTGAATCGTTGGTTTACTCGTGGATCTAAGGCCTTCTGCTGCTTCTCCTCCACTGGTTTTGAACGAGGGGTTTGCTTCGTTCGCACACTCACCCTCCAGAGGTGCGACTAGTGGTTTAAATGCTGCGACCCTTTCCAGTTGGTCGCAATGGGCTGTCCAATTTCCTCTTCTTGAGTTATGAACGTGCTGCCGTTCGTACCGCTTTGGGGTACTTGAGGTGTGAGTTAATTTGTTATGACGTTGATTTGGGTTCTAGTTGGTCCTTGGATGGGAAGAGTATTGGGATTTCTTTGATGTCCTGGTCTCATGGGACATATTCGCGACATATGTCCCGTCTGGTCGCAAGTGTAGCAGCGGAATGGGTCATTAACATTGCTGCGATTTCTCGTGTTTTGTTCCCTGTTTTCATTGTAATTTGATCGTCTATAATATGTGTTCGCCTTTCTATTTTCCTTCTCCATAATTCTCTGTAATATTTCAGTTATTGGGACCAGAGCTTTCTGAACTATCTGCTCTATTCTATCTTTCTTTTCGTTGTCCTTGTAGCGTACAGGCGGGAATCCTGACATGCCTGTGGGAGTTACGATGCTGTAGCCAGCTGTGATTTCAGGGTAGGTCTGGACATTCTCTTCGAACTGCCTTGCAATTCTGATCGCCATTTCTAGTGTAGAATTTTCTTGGGATAAGATAAGAGGTCGTGCCTAGTAGGCGACATCCTTCCGTAATCCCTTTAAAAACTGCCAGACCTTCTCATTCTCACTTTACCAATTTTCACCATTGATCCTTCTAATCAGCCTTTTAATATCATTGGCATATTGACCCACAGTTTCGTTCAGCTTTTGTACCTTCATTTGCAACTCGAACCTCCACTGGTTTATTAAAGCAGTGGTTTTGAAGGTGGTCAGAAAAGAGGGTTCGAACGATACATGGTCTCAGT